AGCAGGAAAATATATGTGGAAAAGCTCCCGTTTCCATTTTTTAGTCCAACTGCTTTAGGTATAATACACGTGTATTTAAATCTGTACTCCGCTGCAGCGGTATCAGGCCGAGGCCAGTGTTTACACAGAGGCTAATACGTTATTAGTTACATCTGCATTTTATAATGACATAATATTTCTTGAGCATTAGTCCGGTGTATTTTATTGTGAAAGGGCGTAGAGGGCCCTTCTTTAAGCTGATTATATTAGATCTAGTTAACCATCCTTATCAGTCTGACATACAGTTTTATCACACAAAGCTACAGTATAATAGCAGGTTAATTAGGTTAAATAAAGATACTTGACCTTTTAAATGAACATGGAAAGAGACATAAGATGGTTGCTTGTAATGCTGATTTTAAAGAATAACCTAGTTTTAATGTAATAATATTTGATTTGTTTGCCACTAAAATACTGCTGGAAGCTAACTTATTGTAATGCCACTTCAGAATCGGAGGGTAAGCGGTCCAGGACCAGTTACACCCGCTACCAAACTCTGGAGCTGGAGAAAGAGTTTCACTTCAACCGGTACCTGAGCCGCCGCAGGCGCATTGAGATCGCCCACACCCTGTGTCTGAACGAGAGGCAGATCAAAATCTGGTTCCAGAACAGGCGAATGAAGTGGAAGAAGGACTCAAAGATCAAAGTGAAGGAGTAAAAGTGCACGAGTGAGCGGGGCGCATGAAGCACGTTGTCAGCCCCACACTGCACAGAGCGGGAGCGCCGCCTGACCTCCGGATGAACTGCTAGGAGCAATGACATCATGACACCGCTCTGTGTGCTTCATCACCAATTATATGTCACTTGCTGCAGTTTGGGACCTAATGCATTGAATATCACTCACTTTGATCAATAGGTTTACATTACTAAATTAATTTGCTGCCTATGCGTTGATAACCTCACTTTGCTGCACGAAGGGGAGAAGAGGTTGAGGGGAGCTTCACGCTGCCACGCTGTGGTCTGCAGAGCACCAAGAGGCTGCACAAGGTTACTAATAAAGTACTTCTTAAATTAGGATAAGAGTAGTAGAGGCATAATTTCCAGTCCTGTGTCCTCCTCTTGTGATTAAACGCGAAGGTCGAGGAATCAAATTAAGGCAAAAACAATTCCTACTAAGCTGCCCGGTTAGTAACAGTTAAATAGTTTCCCACCACTAAAAACAAATTTCCCCCCTCTCTCCTTTTCTTTATGTTGCAGTGCAAAGTTAGGATGTGACTGGATATATGATGTTTGTTAGTGAGTGGATTTCTGTGAAAGCATCATCCACGTTTTCCGCCATGTCCTTGTGAATCTAAATCATTATGTACAATTCAGCGACTGTTTGACATAATATTATAACGTGCAATGAAACTATTTCTCTTCTGGTTTACACAGAGAATAACTGATGGGTTGCTCATATGTTGATTGTAACTAATAAAGTCTCATGATAAAAGTGACTAGATTTTCTATTGTCAATATGCACATTTCTATTTATTTATTTTTCTCCTGATATTAGAGGTTAATTGTGAATTTACAGCCACCGGCACACAGAGTTAATGAATTTAGTTTGATTGTAATATTTTTAAGAGCACTCTTTTGGTCCCAGTGATCAAGTTTTTATTATTTTTTTTTTTAGCTGGACTCCAGAATCCACAGAATTTCATTGAGTGACAAACGCGCTCTGAACTTTAAGGCCCCCATAAAACTTTATTGCGCGTTTCCCACCACAGGCGGATTCTGCTTCCTGTTTTGTCAGGGAAGGAAGGCACACACGAGCCTGTGATAACACTCGCCCACAACACAACATGGATACAAAACTTTGGGTTCCTGTGGACGCAGCCTGACGCGCCATCACCGGTGGGTCCATATGGTCACTCCATGTTATCGCCCTGCTCTTTAATCCTGACACCACTTCACTGTAGTTAAAACAACACTATCTGGTACTGTAGAGGAACATATGATCATGCCAGTTGTTGGGTGTCTGCAATCAGCAGCAGATTTAGTAGAAGTAGCTAATGACGCAGTATACCCAAGACTATGAGGCAGCTAGGCTGCTTAAAGAAAATAAAAATCAACTCACCTCTCAAATTAATATCTTCCTATTCAACTTCTTTGACGGATTTGTGAACGGTCAGCGCAGCGTCCACTTGCTCTGCACTCTGTTGGGCCTAACCTACATGTGGGCAATGTATTGAATCCCTTTTTGTATGTCTTTCTTTTGGGGTATTTTAAAGTTTACAAGGTTACATATGCCAATTGCCCCAAGCAGGGCTTGTGAATGGTGCATAGGAAGCACGTGGTGTCATTTAAGTGGGTTTTATGGCCTGGAAGAGCTGACAAACCTTCGATATATACACATCATATATAATCTTAACTGTCCGGAATAGCAGCTGCTGGCTTCGCCTGATCTAAGGAAGAAAGGGCTTTGTGGTAGTGAGGATGCAGTACCGTCCTCCGGACTGTGTAGTCGGCTGCTGCGGACCACGGAGAGCTGCTGCAGTAAGTTGCCTTTAACTTTTGTCTACAGGCCTGCGACTGTGGCGTTATTTCACCCTGACAAAATTCGATGTATGTTTTATTTAGTGTGACTTGGAATGCATGATTGTTCAGTTGATCAGAATCAAAATGAACGGTATTTAATTGATGGTTAATATGCTTTTTTGTGATCTTAGAATAATTAGGTTTTGAAACTATTCGGTAAAACGCTCTTTTTGAGATTTTCTGTTTGGCGTTTCTAATTTGCAACCAAGTCTCACTCCAAGACGTACAAATAACACGATTTCTCACATGATACCGATCGTGGTTACTGTGTTGTCATGAGGCCTTTTTTTTTAATGGAGCACCATCTCAAACGTTACCAGATTTTAATCTTAAGAAAAAACGGAAATGAATAGAAAGTGAAGATGTTAATCCCTCGTACACAGTGTCAGTCCGTGTGGTTCAACAGTTTGATCTGCATGTTAGTCCTGGCAGTGCTAGAAAAGAAAAAGAAAGGCGACTGTGAGAAAAATGTAAAGTCAGACAGAACTATCAAAAATCATCTGGCGTCCAGTTTTATCAGCTCCACCCTCTCCCTCTTCCTGTCACACACACACACACACACACCTTCCCTCTTGCACACCCACCTGTATGTAAAATATACAATGTGCTGAAAATAAATAAAATGTGACGCGCTGTGTGATCTGCCCAGACACTAAACTGTTGTTTTATAGATCAAAAGCTTATGTGCAACCATAAAAGGTAGGATAAAAAATAAGAACTCTCCTGATGAAGCTGCTTCATCTCATTGCTTGACCCTGACATGAAGTAGTGTCTCTTCTCACACACGGTTGTTTTATGGTCAGTTCTGAGCAAAGGAACAGGTCTAATTCAAAGCCATTATAACTGTGACATCTCCTCGAGCCACGTGAACACTGTAGCACAAAATCCACGATTTATAAAAACGTACCTTTCTTGCACAATATTCTTATATTGTTGGAGAAGAGTTCCCCCTGTTGAGCTTTCGTGCACGTAGCTAACAGTCCCCTTCGTGACCCTGTTTTACTTGTTGGCCTCATTGCAACTGCAGATATTACTAAATTGATCAGTTTGGAGACGGATGAGACAACGTGATCTTATAAGCTCGATAATATTCTGTTGCTCCATAGGGCGCATCAGTTCATTGCTCATATGTCTTGGAAAGCGGTGCAGGCTAGAAACACCACTCTTTTCTTAATCAATGTGTGAACGTGCAAATGACTAGTTTTGATATAAAGTCTTGTTTGGTCGAGGTGAGCTCAGATGCCAGAGCAAGCTGCCTCAAGGACGCACATGCTGCCTGCGGTGCAGCATCTGAGGCTAATATAGGAACTGGAAGTCATCCAGATTAGGACTCATCAAGCTTCTTGTTCATCGCACAGAGTCACTGAGGTTGCATTAATGCACGTCAGTTTCTGTCACACTGTGCGATGCCACGGCCTTTATTGTTTGTAGCTTTTTTCTTTAAATACAAAGATTACTCTTTTTAGTCTCTGCAGTTTTGCTTTCAAGGTGTACAGGAGAATAAATTATGCACTTCCAATAGAGGGCACTGTGTAACACGCTCCTGTGTGGGTGAAACACAGTGGAGGCAGCTGTGGCATCTATTATACTGCTCCTTTCGTTCCAAGATATTTTTTTAGCAGTTCCACTGTCACATTATCTGTTGCCAGCGGGAGAAAATGATCATCATAAACGTTCAAACTAAAATAAAACAATTCTAAATTGAGAAATATGTTTCCTCCAAAAACAGAAATAAGATATTTTCTCATAAAATAGATTGTGTGGTAAGACATTATTTTCATAAAGGCTTCAGGAGCCTAGTTATAATCGAATTCTTCTGATCATTCAGTCATTACATTAAGTTTGAATCAAAAATATGTTGTTTAATCAGTGATGAAGACTATATCATTATAGTGAAAGTGAAATCATCTAAACATCCGTTTGCACTGACATGTTCTGGGCTCTTGTATTCCTTTCTTTGACCTGTGGAGCTGAAACTGCCATCATTCAATCCACAGAGGTCATTTCCGGGTGAGCGCAGGCTTCCCTTTGTCTGAGCCCGAATAAGAACCGTAAAGTTCCATTACATCGTTTTCTAATACAGTGAGAATTTATTTACAATGTGAAGACATAGTCTCTATGATTTCTTTTTTGACTGTTCGCCATATTTCAGCCGCGCTGAAGTCTGGGAATTTCTATTCATAGAAGATTCGCCCAAGGAAACAACCACAATGCTTGTAAATTTTGTTTTACTGTCTGAAAATGACCCGTTCTAAATTTCAGTTCTCGGTCCCAGTTCTGCAGGAGTTCACACATGTCCGAGCTTTTCTAGGGCAGCTCCTTTTCAATTAGCCTCGATAAGAGGATAAGAGGAAACGGGACAGACTGGGTGATGATGAAGAGGAAATAGTAACGCAATATGTCAAAACGCTTGGCTTTATGTATTTGAAAGCCGAGAGACTACCTGTAGAGAATATATTATGAATAAGTCTGAATGAAATAGCTTTTTGGTTATGTTTATATCATTTGAGTTCTTGTTTTCATTAGTTTCATTTATATTTATTTTTTCCTCATTTGAGTCAATTTAATATCCATCAAACTGATGATTTCAAATGTGACATTGCAAATGTTTGATTATTTGAGTCACTGGATAATTTATTCATCTAATGTTCTGATGTTGTGATGTAAAAAAATAGATATTTAATTAACAATTGGTGTGAATTTACCACATTTTTTAAAGAATCTTTTCACTTTTCCTAACTTAAGGGTGGAATATTTGAACCTTTTATTAAATTTAATTTTCTTTTTCCTTTCTGTTTGCAGATATTCATCGGGACAAAATGAGTGGGACGGAGGACTTTCCAGTAAGTGTTACCTATGGCCACACGCATATCCACTGGCTTCAGTCAGGAGATGTGACACTGCATGGTGGGGCTTGGGACTTGGCTTAGCTGGCTCCACATCCGGTCCTGATATACGCACTCTTAACGAACCTATTCAGGGATTGTGGTTTAACAAGCTTCCATACAATTTTAAACAGATGTTTAAACGAAAAACTTAAGCTTGAGTGACTGTTTTCTGCAAACTACACGGGTCTAGTTAACAGCCAGAAAAGTTGCACTCTTGTTGCGCAGGTGAACTGGATATAAAACGGCATTGTGGGTCTAATATGAACCACCGCATTGCTATAATGAACTGCCAACCAACCAATGGTTTCTGTGGGGCATCTACTAGCTTTCCGAAACCACTTGTGTTCCCCTGGCTGTGGGTTTTTGAAGGGTATTCAGATCTAACTAGTCTCCAGTCTGTCTGCACTTCATTAAAAATTTTTATTTTAACTGAACGATCCAGCCTAATGTTATTGCACCTGGGGAAAGTAAATGTGTAAAGGCTATTAGGTTAAGGGTTTGATTAAAAGCGCATCGTAACCATTTTCATCAGGGAGCGGAATATTGCTGCGGTGTCTGCATCCAGGTCAGGTGCTGCTGGGCCACCAAATTAAAAACAGCCATGCATGGACAGAACAACCACCTTTACATAATTGTGCGCAGATTTATTTTGCTTACATATGTACATGTGTGAACACGCTTGTACTGCTGTTATTTAGCAGGGGAAAGGGAAAGCTTAACAATTTCTCAAATGAACAAATGAAACATCAAATTAATGCGCCTGAGGGCCTCATTTTTTGTACTTCTACATTATAACTAGTTATTGAACTAGGTGCACGATCTGAAAGCCATTTGTGGGGAGAAAGAATTCATTGCTGTCTCTCCATCAATAATCCTTGGCAGTGAACTATTGGAACCAGTCAAACGCGAGGGGTGAAACGCGGGTCAGGCTGTCTAACTAATATTAAAATGCGTCCTCAGAGCGCATGGGGCGAGGGAGTAGTGGGGTGCAAGAAGCTCTTTTACGCTGGGTGGGTGCACAGCAAACAGCGTGTATTTAGACAAGCACACGACACAGCCAAATAAACGTGGGGTTGATTTCTGTTTTTTTGTTATCATTTCCTCATCAGTTCGCTCTTTGTTGTCTTAAAACCCTAAAACAGAATATGGAATGAGATGGGGGGTTCTTTTCTGACAGAGTTTCGAGACTCGTGTGCATTTCCACTGTGTTAAGGTCCACCGATTCACAATCCAAGCATGTTTGCTGTTTTTAATAACCCCGAAACAGGTCACATGTTTGATTTTGCATTTTTCATCCGAGCTTTTTCTCATTAGCTTCCAGAGTGGCAGGAAGAAAGGTTACCGAGCGGTCAGTATGGTAATAGCAAAAGACGAAATGGTTGAGAACAATAGGAACGTATTTTTCATCTGTGCTGTCACGCTGTCCCTTTGTATCCGCCGTGTTTGTGGCTGAATATTCATATAGGAGCTACCTCAAAGGCACAGGATGAATGTTGAGAAAAGAGACCCTCTTGTCCTCTGTACATGACATGTTTCTGATTGTGTGTATGTGCGCGCGCGTAGGTGTATGCAAGCATATTTGTGGATGCACGGACTTTTATAGGTGGAAAGATTTTGTCATTTACAAATATATTAAGTGCAGATCCTGTTTGATTCGTGGTGTCGTAACCCCGATAAGCACCCTCCGCCTCGGTGCAGGCATTGTGCAGCATTTTACTCCACGTTTGTTATGACACTAGTCTCAAATGCCAGTTCAGTTTCAAACATGGAAACGTGCTTGCACAGAGGTTTGCCTGAGTGACCACCTAAACCACATTAGTTGTCTATATGTACCCTGTAGAACCGAATTTGTGTGAAGTCCAAACAGTCGCAAATACGTCTCTACAGGAATACATGGGCAACTGAAATACCACTCCAGCCAATGGGTTCCTCTGCTTCTGCTCTCTCTGGCTTCCCCCTGCTATTGCATATACAAGCACTCATTGACATACACATTCAGCCTAGATCCAGGCCCTAGCAATGCAATAACATTGTCTCAAAGTGTATTCATAGCCCAGACAGCAGTAGATTTTGTCGGTAGGCCGTAGAGAGTAAACCCATGTGTGCAGTGAGTGGCTACTACTGTGTCAGACCCTGTAAAACATGTTAGGAACTAGGGGTCGTTTAAAAGTGACTGATTTACGACTTTTATTGCTCTATAAAACGCCTCTAACATCCTCGCCAGGGATAATAGAAATGTCGTGCGCATTCTGTGCAAACACAAACGCCAGAAAAATGCCATTTCACGTCGTTTTTAACCATATTATGTAATTATCGCAGTGAAATACACCCGTTAGTTTGCAATGTGATGATGTTGACCAGCAGATAGAGACCAAAAGAGACGTGTGCACCACCTGCTTGTTCCAAGTTGGAGCCTGTAAAGGACATTCCCTATTCTTATTGATATTATTTATCATTTTCTACTTGTGACTGTGGGTGCTGATCCCCCCACAGGTGGAGACAACAATGAAAGAAATAAAAATGTGTATGGGTGTTTTTGGGAGGGTGCTGGGATATTAGGGAAGTGTCTCTTTCTCTCTGACCACAGCTGACTCTGAGATGCTACAGCACTTGACAGGTTTATACAGCCAGGCAGTGTCAGTTTACATTATAACAGCAGTCCTCCAGTAATGGGGCTGATGGTCAGTGCTTCAGAAGGATTAGCTTTTAGAAGCTGGATTTTCACGTGACAGCTGGAAGAAATATTCCTCTAATATTCAGATTTAAATGTTTGTTTTTTTGTAATATTTGGAATGAGTGGGACTCTAGTTTCAAGCATACTGAATTCTTCCTCTTGCATTCACTTCCTGAAAATCTGGGTTGTAGCTCGCTTTCAGATGCTCTTGTCATCTCCTGCATGGTTGCAGTGCAGGGATAGTACCCACACAGATTTGCTTCATTTAACCTATTGATCACAAGCTTCTGTTTTGCCATAACAAAGCTCACAACATGTCTGGCAGATGAAATATGTCCCATCTTGTAAGGACAGGGAATCACCAGGAAAGAATAAATAACAGAAAAAGAGAGAAAGAACAGAGTCAGGAGCAATAACTTTGACAAAAATCATTAATGGTGTTACAGAATTTGAACACTCATTTGATTTTGGTTGCATTTGTTTTCATTTATTTATTTGTTTTTATTAAATCTACAAGCAAGATGTGTCAAAGCGTGACTATCCTTCATGCAGTCGGACTGTGCACTGTTCCAAAATGCAGCTCCTCATGTGCAACAACCAAATTTAACTTAACTTCACTCTCACATACTAGCCCTCTACTGTTAAGTTAGCAGTTCATAGTGTTGTTCTTCTCCCTGGCCTGTAGCTCTATGATGGTGATGGTCCCCTACTTCTTGTTCTGTGACATGCTGCTGCTGTGCAGTTGTCAGGCTTGTGACACCACAGTTGTTCTGTTCTATGGTGGCTGGTCTGTGATGTCACATCGCTTGTATCATGCTAGTTTGGTTGGTTGTCTGCTTGACTGTTTTTTCGTCTGTGCCATCAGTTGTACTGTTTCTCAACTCTTTGCTCTTGTTGCCTGTGCTTCACTGCTGTGACAACACTCATAATGAAATTCAGTTTTACCCATAGGACTTTGCTGAAGAAGTGTTTCACCTTTCAGTAGCAGATGTTATTATTAAAGGTTATTAAAGGCATGTGCTTCACTTCATTTATGACTATAGACTTAAGCCACCATGACTTCTGTTTAGTTTAGCTTGTTTAAACCAGTCCCGTTTTTGCAGTCATCCTCACCAGTAGTTAATTCAAGCATGAGAGAAGTCTATAAACAGTAGAGTGAAACAACCAGGATGTAATTTCAAAAGAGACAAATCCCATCCCTGACTGTAGCTTAAGCTTTTATTCAGGCAGCCTGAGTCTTCCTTTCTACTTTTCTCCATCGTTATAAATGATCAGGCCTATTTTCTGAAATCAACCACACCTCCTGAACCTCTCACCACTACACTCCTCTCTGACATTTAGAGCCACAATAAACCTATTAAATATTAGTGCTGAAATGGTTTTAGTAACACCATCTCATAACAGTGATGCAGCTCTAATTCCTGAGTCTGGTAATAAACCACAATCTGTTTCACAGTTGAAGTGCTGTTGGTAAAGACAGTGCCTTCATTAATTAGCAGATAACCTTTATATAATTCGTGCAGGCTAACAAAATGATTGGTTTGCTTTTCTTGCACCCTATCCTTGGCGAATCACCTATGTCCCGTTGAATAATTGAGACCAGCGGATTTTGCCTGTTTTATTTTTTCCTTGGTCAGCAACTAGCTACTAGTTTTGTCCCCAAGATCAATTGCCTCGGTAACACAACCAGAGAGAGAGGGAGAGGGAGGGAGAGAGGGAGAGAAAGAGAGAGATTTGTGCCCACAATGGCTACTGTAGGTATGCTAAATACCTCTGGTTCCTTATCCGGGAACTACCTCTTATGCTGCTATTGGGCCACTGGGTCACGTGGTAAAAGTAACTTTACAGGGCTGCTCGCAAGTAGGAGGGCTTTATGGAGCAGAAAAACGACAAAGCTAGAAAAATTATTTTCCACTCCAGAAATTAATGATCATGAGCTCGTATTTGATGGAGTCTAACTACATTGATCCGAAATTTCCTCCATGCGAGGAATATTCGCAAAATAACTACATCCCCGAGCATAGTCCAGAATATTACAGCCGCGCAAGGGACACTGGCTACCAGCATCACCACCAGGAGTTATATCCTCCGCGGGCGAGCTACCAAGAGCGCCAGTATAACTGTGCAAGCATCCCTGAACCTGACACGCCAAGGGGACATGGAATACCCCATTCTGCGCACCTGCTGACAGGGAAAGGGCAACCTGCTTCATGTGAAACCCCACAGTTGTCCATGTCCCCTGCCACCCCACCGGCCGCAACCTCCGCCTGCAATCAAGCTACCCCGGAGCACCCAAACAGCACAGCCTCCTCTAAGCAGCCCGTGGTGTACCCATGGATGAAGAAAATTCACGTCAGCACTGGTAGGCAACTTGTGTGTTTATGTTCCCTGCACTCCTCATGCTCCTCTCCTTTTCCCTCCCTTTATCAGTCCTTCTGACTCCCATCTCGTTGCCAGCCCCTGCTCCGATAGCAGGGAAGCCTTTGAAATTGCACAATTGAGGCGGATTTACGACTCGGCATTGGTAATTACACCCACCATAAATTTTATAGCCGAGGTATACTCAGGGCAGCCGTATCACCATGTGGCTTCTGCTGTTATGTATTGCGCGATAGAGAGAGAGAGGAGAAATGAATTTGGAAAAAAAATTGAGCTTTGTAATCTTGTATTAATAATTTAGCTCATAGTTGGATGTGAGTGTCCTCTCATTACGCCGAGAAGTTCTTAACTTCCCATTTGAATTTTTCAAACAGCTAAACATTCATATCCAATAAATCTTTCAAGCCATATCTCTGTTGAGGCCATTCTTGTTTACCCCTCCTTTCCTCCCTTCTCTGTCTCCCCTTCTCTCCACTTCTCCTTTTTTTCCAGTGAACTCGGGTTACAACGGGACGGAGCCCAAACGGTCTAGGACAGCATATACTCGGCAGCAAGTCTTAGAATTGGAGAAGGAATTCCACTATAACCGATATTTAACTCGGCGAAGGCGCATCGAGATCGCCCACACCCTGGTTCTCTCCGAGCGACAGATTAAAATCTGGTTTCAAAACCGCAGGATGAAATGGAAAAAGGATCACAGGCTCCCGAACACCAAAGTGAGATCCTCTTCCTCCTCCTCCGGGTCCAACACAAGCTCAGCAGCCGGCGCTGTTGCCGCTGCCTCGGCCACTAACACTGGGGCCCCCGACGAACTCACCGGAGCACAGCATGGCGAGGATATTACCAGGTTATAAAACAATGAACCAAGAACCACGACTGGGGGTAGAAAAAGAACTGGTTATTTATAGAACAATTATATATTTTGTTTTCGTAGCTATCTTGTGCGGTTTCCTTTAAGTCCAAAGTTATATAAAATGCATGTTATATAGCATGGATTACTGCGAATACCGATGAATTATTTTTACGTGACACAGGGTTTAATTTATTTGAAGCTCAATTAAAATAATGTTTTTTATTAAAATGTTTTGAATGAAGGAAAAAAGTAGAAAAATATACATTTTATCCAAATGTTATTGTGGGCCATTCTTTTGCCCTGCTGCCCAAGGTGAAATGCACAATCTATTTATTTCAAACAACACTGGAAGGAAATCAATATTATAATAGTTATTTTTGGTATAAAAAGCTGGAACACACCATTGATCTTGAACTTGTATGTTTAGGATAATAACAATGTGTGAGTTTCCTCGTGTATTTCAGAAACAGGATTTTTGATTTACGATTTAGTTTTGTGGTGTTGATGTTGTGTTTAGACCGTTAAAAAGCAGATTATTGTGAAATGCAATAAACGGAGTTTAGTGTACTTGTGCTAATCCTATTGGTCAATAAAACAGTGAGTGTCTACTAGTTTTACATACGTTTGGTCGAACCTCATTTTAGACAAGATAAGGTGCAGTGATTTTTGTTTAGTTTAGTTTTCTTTCTGTTTTCCTGTTTGGGGAGGTCTCCTTAAACGTCTACAGACGTGTGAATATTTGAACATTTGACAAGGGAAAACAAGAATCACTGTGTTTTCAGACTGTGCTTATCAATTGTGCAGCTCATTCTTGCATCTATAAATTAACGATGTGTACAGACAGCGTGTGTGTGCATGTGAGTGAGTGAGTGTGTGTGTGTGTTGAAGCCTCATTCATGATGGACAAAAGTTATTTCTAAAATCTGAAAATGAAATAGTTTGCGCTGTGCATTATGTGCAACCTCATCATTCTGAAGGGCATTCAATTAATACTAAAGACAAGCCAGTGAGGCCCTCCTCTCCACACTGCACTGCCTCTGCCGGTGCCACGAGTGAAGCTCTCTGCTTCCGTCGTCCTGTTTGGACACGAAGCTGCATGCCATTCATTTAGAAAACGTTTGCAATGTGTTAGAGATCATAGGTTGGTGTGAAAACGTGCTTTCTCATTTTGTAACCTAGCCTAGTTGCCCTGCTTTTTCTATAGTCCACTGCGCCATGGGACTGAGTTTTCAAATGTAAATAAATAAATAAATAAAGTCGTGAATTGCAAATAGATTCCATATAATGCGTCATGTGGTCTTCGTTAACAGTGAGGATGGTGATGGAGTAGGTTGTAGCTGACCTTTGTTAGCAGTGCCCTGGATAGAAGAAGCAATGTTGTTGTGTTTTCTCGTGCAATCATTTGACTTCTGCTTGTATAAACACATTTCCACACTGTGTCCCCAGTGGGCAGTTCGCCTCCAGTGTGCAGCAGCTCGCGAGATTACAAAAACATACAATTCAAAAAAAAAAAAAAAAAAAAACGGCGCTTAACGCGTCTTTGCAACGTCACCGTCTGGCAGGAGGACCAACACACTGCAGGACGGTTTAGGACTGTAGATCTGCTGGACTGATACAACAGTTTGACAAACTATCATTCAGACTACGCCTCTCAGCTGAAGGGTCTTAAGAGGGTTTTTTTCCCCTCTCTCACACAAACCCAATCATTTTTTAAGGTTTTTGGACAGACCTTTGCAGAAGCTTTAAATGTGACTTAAACCCAAAGACGCGCAAGAATTTGATAGATTATTGAAATTGTGACATGAATAGGTCTTATAAAATGCCTTGCGTAGTAGGGGGCAGAGGAGCACAAAGGAAAGAGGTATTCTCCATCATCAATCTTTCACTACAGAGCTTTGTGTTACGTTCTGGAAAACGGCCCCGGCAGCAGCCAGTTTTGATCCTATACTAAATATTATATACCAGGCTGTAAACCTTAAGGTTGTGACTAAACGTGAGAGTTAATCTGGGCTTTTTCAATCAACCATTTTCATCGGAGCAAAGCGAGTAAAGCCCGCTTTTTGGATGTGGCCTTAGAAAGGCACTAGAATAGTGGTGAGACGGCGCTGAAAAATGAATCCACAATCCTTTATGTTGCTGGACAGATTAGAGAAATTAATGTGCTCGCCACAGTCGCAGCATCCCTCCTGTCCCTTTCTAGGCCCTGTCGCCTCCATGTCGTGAGGCTGAAAAGGTACTTCATTGAAGTTTGGGGTGAAGTGGGAGAAGGCCGAGTTCACTTCGAGGACACATTTTCTGTCCCATTAGGCTCATTTCAGTCTGGATGGTCGACCTCTGCAGCCCTCTGACCTGACTACTCTCTATACGTGTACCTTCTGTGTGCGCCATCGCTGGTCCCCCTGGGCCTTGGCTTTCTTTGTGGGTTTTTCTGCGTGGAGCCTATAGAGAGGCCTGCGGCGGGGAATCACTGAATCTGTTGATCCCTTTGTTTAATCGGAGTGACCCAGGACAGTGCTGAACTCAAGGCCGGTCCTCTTCTCTGCCAGCAGCAGACCCGGACGATTTGAGCTGATATATTGTTTGCAAACCTAGCAGGGAAACTTTGTGGCAACTTTTAATTAACGGAGTTATTGCACTGATATCATTAAAACACGTAGCATTTTCCTGAGTGCTTATAAATCGGTGTTTTAAGCTTTTCCAAGCCTGTCTGGGGAAATGGGAAATAGTCAGCATTTATTGCAAATGGATCTTTGTGTTAATATTAAAAGTTTGGAACAGTTAAAATTAAAATGTGATTAAAATCATAATTCCCAAGCATTAGCTGCATTCCCTAAAGCTTCCCAAAACAGGAAGGAGTAGTGTGTGCAGTCACATGACTGTTGTGTGGCTCCGGAGAATAACCGGTCTCAGGTCAGCACATCCGTTTCAATGTAAGCTGCCACTTCTAGCCAGGTGTTTCTGACGCTTCTGAAGCAGCTGCTCACTGTGACTAGTTTATGGACAGGGACCTTCCAACAAGTGTCACAAACACCTTGCAAACTTTCCACAGAGACTTCACACATCCCCACAACTTTTATTTTTATCTCTGACATAAAACAGTGAAACATATTTAAGTGACAACTGAATATTTACAGCTGTAAAATTGTTACTTAAACATAAAATGTAAACAATGTTGACAGTGTGGCTATAGGCTGATACTTGAGCCACTGTTTTCTATTTATTTCTAACATTCTTATCGCAGGCACCCTTGAATTTTTAATATTATTTTTGATGCACTAAGCAACGCGTGTGGTGGTTTTTCCATGCATGGCCAGGACCAGATATGCAGCGGTGATGGAAAAATATTAGACAGCGTGTCTTCCAAGATAACTGGCACTGAAAGCCAAACAACTAATCTCGGTGTCTGTCATTTGTAAGTGATAGTAACTCAGGCTCCTTGTCGTGCGTCCGAGACTGCAGGTGCAGCTGGAATTATACCTGGAACAATGACGAGATGTCTTCCCACGTTAAGCCTTTAAGTGGAGTTTTGTGTAAAGTAGAATCCGAGTACACAATTTGCATGTGTTGTCTTTCTTGGTTTTCGTTTCCAGTGATTTTAAATAAAGCCCTCTTGGATTTATTATGGAAATCAGCTGTGTGGTTTCAAATCATAGCAAATGTTTAAGTCGTCGTTAGAAAACTTTGCTCTGATGTGCACAGACCCCTGCTCTACACAACGGAAACTTTTCTGAATATTTGCATAGACAGTTATCATAATATTTAAGGATCGCACAGTGGACACTTTACAGGTTTACTTTTCTGCACTCACAAATCTCAGCAAGCAAATAATCCACGACATCTATAAACTGCAAAGGTAGAGTCTTACCTGTCAGAAGATCAAATGACAATAATACACAATCCCCGAGACTAATAGTTTCATTTAGTCTTTTCTATGAATGAGTACCGTTGTTAAAGTTTAAAATAAGCGCCTTTGCCTTTCATTTTCATCCAGCTATTGAGCTTCAAGCTGCCTTTTGCTTTCATCTAAATCTGTAGGATACCTTTGAGAGGCGGTTGTTATTCTTAACCGCACCACCTTGTAGGATCGTGTATGTTATGTTTGAAGTCCACTGTTGAAATTCCTCAGCACTTACTCAGCTCTAACTGATTTCTTCTCTGACTCTGTTGGATCACACATGATTTTCAGCTCACATAGCACCGCCGCAGGCTCCCCGTGATTTATGAGCACCTCTGGCGAAGACTCTCTCCTGGAAGATATAAAAATTTTTACACAACCACCCATCGAAATGTTTGAACAAGAGCAAACACTAAGCAAAACTGATCAGCTGTTCTGACGCTGGTGTGGTTTATTACCTGTTTGTATTGTTTACACTGAGCTAACTAACTACACATGTTTTCCCACTCGTCTCAGGTGAGTGTCTTCTTCAGACACTTTAGTTTGTAATGAAAGGTCCGGAGCCGAGGTATTGTTAGGGTGTAGTGTGTTTAAACTGCAGCCATGGCAGCTGCATAAAGGCTCCGAGTTGAAACAGGGGTCACGCTGCTATTTTCCAGGGACAGCGAGACGCTCTCGCATTGACCAGCAGTGGGTGTGTCATAAATCCGTAAATCTCTTCCCATCCGTTCTCTCCAGGGAGCAGATGCACACTGTCTCTCCTTTGTGTGTGAGTGTGCATGTGTGTGTGATAGAGGGAGAGTTAAATGAATTTACATAAAACTAGATTTTAAAACTCCATTAGACATGTTAAAATGATTTACTGTCAGTGCTGGCAAACATTTCAAGCAGGAGACGACAAAGCAGTTTGGATCCACACTGATAATCCCACTGTAGACCTCAGCGTCACATCACACAGGAAATGATGGCCTGAGTAAACTTGCCAGTAATACTTTATGTCACCATAACGCCTCGGTGAGAAATATTTCATTAGCCTATTTGCTGCATCGTTGAGGACATTAGAAATTACAGTCATTTTCCTCCGTTCAAGGTGTCACCCGGGGCCCAGACAGTCACTGGATTGAGTTATGATTATGTTACTCACTTTTCATTAGCAACAGTGGTCTGAATATGAGATGCCGAGACTATAGATCCACAATTATGTATGGGTTAAGTGGAAATGTGCCTTTTATTTCATTTGCTCTTTGCAAACGGTTCTCCTGTGTATCTGTGTGGCCACCAGTTGCATTTGTACCACAGTCATCTTGTACTTTGCGCACTTTGAGCACAGCTGCTGCAGCGTCACACGATATATTTATACTTGTCAGTGCATTTTGTTACATAACATACAGCAGGTGATTGAAAATGAATATCAAACGACCTAATGTGAGGCACAGGATTGAAACCCGCTGCAGCTCAAACTGACTGACAGGCCCTTCATACCATTACAGCCATAAAGATATTGTTATGTTATGACTGTGTTAAAGGTTTGTTTGCATCAGTAATATTTGTAGCAAAACAGTCCTGTATTTGCAATTCTCGCTCCAGTAACAAAGTTACGGCCTTAAACATTGAATATTTACACAAGCTGCCAACCCTGATCTCAGATCCTGTGCATCAGATCCACTATAAAATATCTTTTTATAGTTTGACAATTCCTGAAGAAAGTATAATTTTCTCAAAGTTACATATATATATCCGTTTATTCTTTGGCTCAGAGCTGCAGGAGTTACAGCTGCTGTAGCATCCAGCAGGCCCACGTTAATACTATATTAATGCACATGCTTATGCAAAAGTCAGGAGTTATTTGGGAAATTGACAATATGTGTCTTTTCCTCACTTATGAAGTGCAGTCTGCAAACTCGAGTCCTTTCATTTCACTCTGCATTGTTTACAGCAATATAGGGCACAGGGCCCATAAATCTTCTGCTTGCTCTGCCAAGACAGCGCCATTTGTATGCACCGTTTTAACCGACAGCATCCTCTGCCCATTAACGTCTACTCCCCAGCTCCCTCTCAGTCTCCTCTTATCAGTTCTGGCCCCTGCCAATACATTAACTGATCCGTGCTTTGGGCTCTCAAAACCAGTCATGTTTTTAAAATGCATGGAATATATAATTTATCGTGAAAAAAATAAAACCACAAGAACTGTGCTGCAGATCTCCAGATTCCCCCCTGTGCGCAGTTGCAGATATTTCCCACTTCCCAATACTGTTTTCTCTAAGTTACTGGTATGAGAAATAAAAGTTTATCGACGATTTCCTTGGTTGTTTGTGTCAGCAGGCGAGAGAGCGCAGAAGGTAAGGAGGAATTGTAAAAGGGCTGACACCCAGAGCGACCGGCGCACTTTTGTGTGAGAGAGAAAAATGATTTATTGCCACTGAGGCGGTTCAAACAGAGTTCACGGAGAATTGTGGTGGAGGCGCGGAGGAGCTAAATTATGGTCTAGCTGAGCCAGTATATCATAGATTCTATCTCCAATTCAGAGAGTGTGTTCAAGGGTGTGAGCTCAGGAAAACAAAACGAATTTAATTACTTTATCCCATTTCAGCCAGGGCTGATGTATACAGCCTATTTCACCCTATAATAATAATAATAACAATAATAATAATAATAACTGTATTTCTACATTGTAGCTTATACTCACACTGAACTTATTTAGCACTTAAAGACGATTTTAATGATCCTGATGGAAGAATTAAACTTGGCCACATTACCTCGTTTACACTTTCTAATTAGAATCATGTCTCCGAGCTAAACTGGGGGGATTTTATATAGTTTAAAATTCAACATTCGTCCATAAAATCAAGACATTTAATGCTGTTTGTGGTTAGCAGTGGTTTTAGTATAGGTAAATACTAAAATAATAATAACATGCAAGGACGTGTGGGGCTCCAGGTAAAGCCTCAGTGATGGTGGCAGCAGCAGCAGGGGTGAGACGGTAAAGGGGGACGGCTCCTCTCCTTCCAAGCTCTGCAACACTGAGTGCATAATCCATCACCGCTGAGGGACATCTAAAGAGGGTTTTCTCGACAGCTTTGTTGTAGTGAAACACCAGAAGGAACTTGTACCTAAAACCTGGTTCTCGTAAGATTGATACTGGAACAAAACATGTTAACATTATAGCCTGCAGAACATTTTGGAAGATGCTCTTGGGTGTATTATTTAAACTGTGATAGCTTCATTGTTATTTATCCATTTTGCATAAATGTGTGCGTTGCTGAAATTAAACAATCCTGTTTGATGACATTTTTCTTCACAGTATAACCCAGTTAGGCCACAGCTGATGCAGCTTGTAATCCACGCAGTTCCCCCAGACATATATTATGCGGGGTTTAAATGAAGTTACAGAATGTATATTTTATTTAAGTACTTCTCGCCTTCATGGCTGTAAGCCCAGTTCTTGGTGTAAACAGGCGCAGATACAGTAAAACCTCTACTGAACATCTCCCCCTGCTCTTTGTCCATCCAGCCGTGCAGCAAGGGGCATGTTTACCATCAAAACTGTCCACACTGTCTGGCTGTTGCCTCACAGAGCCACAGACAGGAACACTTGATACTGTGCAGTGATGAATGCAAATGCGTTGAATTGTCCTAAGGAAAAAAAAATTCTCTAATGATTGCCTCCTTTGTCTTTGTGTGGCAGTGACTGTCAAGCCTTTGTTTGACCACTCCCAGTGAATCCTATTAAGGCAAAGCTACACTTCCACTCCGACAGTTATAACCATATGCTGTTATTTAAATGAAAGCCCGCCGATTTATACTTGGCCGTTAAATTAGCTGCAAACCAAGCTGCAAAAATATTCGGACCGATTTCTTTAAAGAAAATAGCAGCCTTACAGCAGAATGTCAGTAGACAGCTAATAGCAAGGATATACTGGAATGAGTATTATTATTTATCAGTATGCTTGATTGGGTAGAATACCGCGCAATACTATTTATTTTTGTGCAATTTAGATTTAAAAACTTTAGTAAAATAATGAGTTGTGCTCGATATCCCGTTATTATCCAGAACATTATTCCAGCTCAAGGAAGTAATCTAGTGGAGGATGAACTCCTCGCAGTGCATTTGATAAAACCTACCACCAAAAAAAAAGTTCAGGATGTTCAGCTGCAAACGTTCCTTTTAATAAACGCGTCCAGTCAAGAGACTTACAATAACACAAGAAATCATCTCTGAGTTTCTATAATGAGACGCTCCTCACCACACGTCACGTCTGCCTGCCCCCTCTCTACCATTTCTGCCTCTCTCCGCATTTCCCCCTTTCTCTGTCACAGTGATTACACGGTTGTTGGCGTGTTCATATTCCGTTATATGATTTTTTTTAATCCCTAGGTAAGAAAACGCAGGCTGCTCATAGAAATATTGTCGGAAGAAATACCGCAGAAGCTTCATCGGGCGCCCCAAGTTGCCAGCGGAGCACTTTGTAACTCCACAGCGCGTCATTGGAGGATGGTCACACGTGACTACGGCACCCTTCTGGTAAATAATATTCAAATGTTCCGCATGTTTACTCCAAGTCCGCTATACTGCATGTGATTGGATAATAGGCAAGACAAAAGTCCTAACTACTGTAGAGGGATTCCTGGGTTTTATTTGAGACAGTCTGATGAGCTGGCTCCATGGAAGCCCAACAGTCTGCCCTCCCATTGCAGCTGCATGGCAACATCTTGGGCTCTGGACAAGTGCCAAAACTAAGTGCGGGATACAATGAAGCAGGAAGAGGCGGAGGAGGCCGAGAAGCAGAACTTAATCAGCACGACATGACCTCCTCTGCTCATGTCAGTTCCAGGTTGAACCCAGATGAAGAGTTTCCGAGCCCACTGGAGCCTCTGGTTCACTGCCGTGCCAAGGGCAAGCTGGACATCAAGAGTAGGAGCTGCGGTCTACTCACCATCTGCCACTCAGGAGTAATTTTTCCCTGGATGAATCCAAGGACAACTGACTCTGAACAATCTGGTAATAACAATCTTTTACATTATAAAGCTATAAAGTGAGGTCACAATATAGTGTTGAGTGATGGAGTGAATTTATAAATCAAATCACAATGAGAAGCCCCTTCATTTCTGTTTAGAACACACAACAAACACTGTTATGTGACCGTAATGTTCTGGAGCAATTTGTTTTTTACATAAAGACACTGAATAAATTCCCCATACCTCCTCATACTTTACATTTACTAGTAACTATATGTTGAAGTGTGACCCGCATCATTTCTCATGCACTAAAGTTCATGAGATGTGAAGGATCTCTCTCCTCTACAAGGTTAAATTAGTGTATGAACAGGTGTTGATGTTGCAGCACAGTTAAAAACAATTAGGTGTCATGATCCGTGGTGGAAGAAGTACTCTTTACTTTACTACTTTGTAACAAGTAAAGTGTTACTTCATTGAAAGTACAACAGTATTAGCATCAACATATACTTAAAGCACTAAAAGTAAAAGGACTTACAGAATGGCATATATTATTGTGCACATCCCATTTAATGTAAAGGAGGAGCTCATTTTAACTACCTTCTGTGGTTATAATTTGAATGGCTCTACCTACTGCTCGGTAGCTTGTCAATTTCCCAACAGGGATCAATAAACTCTTGTGATTATAATGTATGTTTTATTATTAATCTGATTCTGAAAAGCAACAAAAGTTATCAGATAAACGCAGCAGAGTAAAACGTACAATATTTGCCTCTGACATTTAATAAAGTCAAAGTACGAAGTAGTAGAAAATGAAAATACTCATGTAAAGTACCCCAAAGCTGTACTCAAGTACCAAACTTGAGTAAATGTAGTTAGTTACTTTCCACCACAGGTCAGAATCACGGTAAAGAGTCATTTGCTCCTCCACTCCTGTAGGCAAAGATACTGTATGTTCAAAACAGAAAAGCTGTAGTTACAGAAAGCCTCTTGTAAACTGCACGTTTTGTGCACATTGGTTCATAACACATCTATTAATAAATTAATTCAGTTCATTATAATATTTTTGCTAATGAGTAAATCAGTTTGTTTTGAGTGTAAAGTCACATATTGTCTAAGTAAACTTTACAATAAAGAACAGAGAATGACAGAAAGAGAAGATAATAATATGAAATATATAAATCAGAAATACATTTTTATTGCTTATTTGACTCACCAACAATGCCTTTTGTTTTTCACTGTCACTACAAACAAGCGCATAAGGAGGAAGATGCAGTCAGTCTGGTGGAGCATTGTTAAGTTTGTATTCTCTAAGGTCACTACAGCACTTATTAAGTATCCATTTACCCCGTATGTCATATAGTTATCAACAGGGCCCTGTTACTGCTCATATACATGTCAAAATGTATCTCTAATGGTGGTTATTTTCAGTGGTGGTCCCAAGGTAGCTTTTAAGTGACTGAGATGGGGATTTGACAGGTCTGCTTCCATGTATAGCTGTGATTAATGTGGCCTGTCAGGCAGCCGTAGTGGCGTCAGATGTTTCCCCCAGACTGTTTCTTCGGGAGGTAACTTTCCCTGAACACATGACACAGTAGACAGCCAGTCTTGTATAGTGTCTCCAGCATGGCTGAATACACAGGAAGAGCTGAGGGCCCTGTTTGGTCTTAGGTTGATTGGCTGAGGATTAACTAGGCCCTCACTGGCACTTGAAGTCCTGCATGTGGAGACCATACATTCCAAGATAGACTTGTTAGGTATCTGGCACTTGCTTTTAACACCCTCTCTTCTTTATGCACCTCCTCCCGCATCAGTCAGCAGTGGTGTGGCGGCCGGTCTAGCAGGCAGAGGAAGACATGGTGTGAGGAGAGAGAGAACAGCCTTCACCAACAGCCAGCTGCTAGAGCTGGAAAAGGAGTTCCACTTTAGCCCCTACCTGTGTCGTCCTCGGAGGCTGGAGATGGCCGCTGGACTGCAGCTCACCGACCGCCAGATAAAGATCTGGTTTCAGAACCGCAGAATGAGGTACAAGAAGGAGCATGGGAGTGGAAAGGCAACAGGTTTATTCCAGCAGTCTTCATGCAACCTCTCCCCCAGCTTGGGCTCAAGTGCAGACAACCTGATGCTTCCTGGCAAATGTATTGTTCAAACTTCCTCTTCTTCAGACCTGCACTTCATGGATTATGCTCCTCTGGCCTCCTCTCTCCTTGGCTCTCAGTTTGATGGCAGCGGTGGTCAGTGTAATCACCCTGCAGACCTTCCCCATCTGAGCTGCATACTTCCAGCTGTTGCCGGTGGTCTACGGCCCTCCTGTACGGGCGTGGATAGTCATCACCATGCTGGCATTTCAAACTGGCCCTAGGGCTCCATAATAACCACCCCTCCTGTTCTCATCAGAATCTCAGCGATACATCCACTATCACTTACTTATGAAAGACTGGGGGACGTCTGATTAGAATCCCAGGTGGACACACCCTTTCATTATTCTTGAAACATTTTAATTAAACTATGTGAACATATTAAAGGAGAGCTACAGTACAGTGCTGTCACTGTGGGTTTGCCGCTCTGGTTGTACATGCATGACATGCAACACAAGACCTTTCTTTGAGCAGTTAATAATGACATGGTTTTTGCTGTGATTTTGTGGCTTTTATGTTTGTATCGTGTTGCATGTTTAATGCATGTGAGAATCATACTAAGAGGAAGTTTTCTGTATCCCGCTATTGGCAGGTAAAAGCTAAGTGGTTGTTATATTTTGCAAGTGTCACATTAGGCCTCTTTTTTCATTATGTACTGTAAATCATAGGTCATTTATGTAAAATGTTGTGACTTTGAAATGGACAAAGTATGTTCATATTGACTGATGTTATATTTTTGTTATAGCCATTAAAGAATATGGCAACTCTTTGATACTGTTTTTGATAAATTGAGATGTCACGTACTGTATGCCTAATAAATGCATTTGGGGGAAAAAAAAACTGTAGCTGTTTACCCTATTCATCACTGATTAGAATAATATATTTTTCTGCAGTATTTCATGATTAAGGATTTCTGGATTTGATCCAAAATGTAAAAAATGAGAAAGATTTTGTAATCAAATTAAAGCATGCTTCAGAAACTACACAGTATTGTGCTTTCAGGTTGCACAAGTCTTGCCACATGATCCTCTCCCTCGCTCCTGTCTCCGAGTTCCCCATCATTAATCACCGAGACAAGGCGGTCTTTCCAGCGCTCCAACCACAAGCTCTGAACTCAATGGGCGCCATGACAAGATCACTTGCCTCCTCCTTCCCAGCCCTTGTCTTTTCAAAGCCAAAGTATAGTACTGCAAGTTGAGGCTGGCCTCCTTCTCAGGGGACATGTCAGTTGTGCAGCTTAGAGGCCCTTCCAGCAGCCCATAGGCCACAACAGACAGTGAGCTTCAAACACATGTTATGTTGAACAGTCAGAGCTGTGTTGTGTGTGTGTGTGTGTGTGTGTGTGTGTGGCTAGCATGCACAGTGACATGTGGATTCTCAATGTAAACTCTGGCATGGAAATGTTATTTTCCTCTTGCTGTTTTTTTAATTTCTAAATTTCAGCTCTCACTCAGCTAAATTACACACATGGGGCATTGTGCAGTTGTGTGACAGAAGTGGGTCACAGGTTCTCCTGGGTCTCAGCGGTTTTACATGTCAAAGATAGACAGCAGCATTCATGATGAAGGAGCCTACCTCCTCTTACTCATAATAATATCAAGCCTTTGTATCAATAGTCTAAAAAAACTGCACATTGTGACAGTTTTATGTTGGTGGCCTTACTGTAAATGAATTGTCACAGAGGACTCCTGACGGCTATGAAATAAGGAATGTACTAGGAAGGTGATCCCCTAGTGATCCTGGATAAAATGACTGGCTGCTCCTAATTCATGACCTAATCAGTGTCCCGATCAGCTTTCATTTGGTAAATATTAGACACTTATTGCAGCAGGTTCGGTAAGTGTCAGGAGAGCTATATCGCTGCTATAACTCTGTGGAAATTTTGAATAAAATAAAGCAAGGTCTACACCGCATCCATATGAGAGAGGTAGCGACAGCTGGGTAATTTAAGAGAAAAGTAATAAAGGGCAAGAGAGAATGAGATGAAGCAAGAAAAAGTTCTCTCCTACAAATATCTTGGTTTTCAAGGAGACAGAGAGGAGAGACTGTGAGGAAGAACAAGCAGACAGTGTTGGATTCCTAAGATTCTTGCATATGCTAGGTGATTTATGGTGTTAATGGTGTCGAGGCTCAATAGGACCTTTATCTCAGGTTCATCACCACATTTTCCTTTCAGATACTAAAAGCCAGGAGGATCCACACACTTGAGTGTCAAAGAGTATCCGTAAGGCCCCCAAGGGCCCCACTGCAAGGGGCGGACAGTCTACTTCCATTTCAACATTAAGTTAACAGTTACTCTCACACTGGGTGGCTCCTACTTAGTAACTAAAGTCACTATTACTCCCTTGACTCCCTCCTTCTCGTGTAATGACGTGTGGTTTTGGGGGGGGGAATATCTGCAAAGCTAAAAATCCTTACATGTTTTTCCAAACAGTGGGCTTTGATCAGACTACATTTACTAGATTTTGTGAAGTGATAAATGGCACCAGCCGTGGTGCCATGAAACCAGCTTTGGTTACGGTCCATCATTAATTTAAAATTTTTGCATTATGTCCTTTACAATGACTGATGTTCCACTGTCCCATTTGCAGCTGTTGTGAAACAGATTTTTGGGTTAGACTTGAAAAAGCTCCATGCATCAAGATTTTTGTTAAGCTGCCGTGAAAACAAAACTGCTGTGTGCTTAAGAAAGATGTGTTGCTTTAAGTAACTTACAAAGAATTTGCCCCTGCATACTGCTTAAAGTGCTGCTAGTGTTTACTGGAGCCTTATGTTATGAAATGTAATTCCATTCGTTATCTGGAAATAAATGATAACAATAAGAATAACAAATGTCTATGTGGCAGCCTCTACTGTTATTGGAGTGCATGCCTATAAACCGGGATAAACACACTCCAAAAACACAAAAACAGCCCTTTGTACTGTGGCCTCAGTTATTTATAAGCTAGTTCTTAGTTTACACTTTATTTATGTATTAAGTACATGTTTTGGTAAATGAGCCTTCACCAGTAGCATCCTCCTCAGTTTCTAGAGGTTACAGAAACATCCCCAGGTGTGTGGAGATGGTAACAATAGGGCCACATTAGGACACACAGTGCTTCTTCACTGAGGTCCTCATGGTGAACTCGAGGGAACCCGTCGCAAATAAGAACAAATGTTTCCATGGTTCTTTTAAACAGTACACACTGTCATTGTTGAGGTTATGTTATGAGTTTATTCTGACATGAACAGTACAGACATTAATGTGCTTTTAAATTATATAGAATGTTAAAAGGCAAATTTGACTGAATCTGTAGATGGACAATACATACAATCTGTACACACACAGCCAGTAGTGGAACGTACGTAAGTACAATTTTGAGGTATCTATATTGAGTATTATCATTTTGTGCTACTTCATACTTTGACTTCACTGCATTATACAGACAAATATTGTACTTTTTACTTCATTACATTTATTTGATAACTTTAATTAGTAGTTGCCTTTAAGAAATGGAATAATTTTAAAAAACACATTATAGTCATAGGACTTTATTAATCTCTGGTGTAAATGCACAAACTACCTAGTAGTAATTCAAATTATAAGCATATAAACTAGATAAAACTAGCCTCCTATTTACCAGGTACAACATTAAATGTGATGTATAAAATATTGTATTGATTGTAATATGAAATACATTACATTACACACACATTCTGCATAATGAATACTTTTACTTGTAGTACTTTAAGTATGTTTTGATGATAATAGTTTGTACTTTTACTTAACATTCTGAATGCAGTATTTGTAACAGGGTATTTCATTTACAGTACTGTATTGCTACAGTGATCTGAGTATTCCTTCTACCACTGCACGCAGTGTAAAGACGCAGTCAAGTGGTCATGCATGAAATGTTTGAAAGTCAAAATAAGTCACGCATCTCTTTTCAAGCATTTGCAACAATTTGCAAGTTACTTTGTGTCAAAGATTAGAGACATTTTTACCCATAAACAGATTAAAATGAAAGTGTGTTTGCTGAAGATTATTTTGAAACATATAGTTTACATTTTATATTTATGGTCACCTATGACTTCTGAGAGTTATGCAACTAAAACAGAACATAGGATAAAAAACAACTAATAGCTACCACAGCCTACTGGTTCTAGTGTGCCCACTTTCATGACAACAGCAGAGCACTGTGCACATGTGCTCCACCACAAGCATAAATGAAAGCTGTAATTGCCGTTTTAAATGTTTTTGTTTTGGGGTGTTGATATTGCTTGTGTTATTATGGCCTTATGGCTGCAGAGACGTCTGTAACAAAATAACTGGGGTGAAAATAATATTAAAGATCAACATAGGACTTACTTTACTGAACTGTTATGTTTCTACTCTGACTGATATGTATGATGAAAATCATCAAACCTTCACAGACATGACTGTTACATGCAGTACTGTAGTCCTTTGTTGAGTGAAACCCTAAACTTTTATGCCTGTTTTTTAGGAGGTTTTGTTCTTTTTATGACCACTTCGCCTTCTCAGGCTGATCCCTCCACAGTAGTAGCTGCTGCCCACCAGTCTCTCCAGGTGCTTGTTGCTGAAGATGATTGTTAAGTATCAATTTACTTTGTCACCTTTATGGGTTTTATTTATTTGTCTGTTCCTTCGTGTGGAACAGAGCCTGAGCATCACTCACAGAGATGGATTATAACTCAACTGCTATGACTCATCAATCTTCAAAATTTGACTTCCTGAATCCCATACAACTGTTACTGTCATATTACGGTGCAGCATTATCAAGATCAATGACATTTTAAATGCTTCCCAGTTAAGGATGATCTGTGATAATGAAAAGGTAAGTTGGTGATGAAAGTGTTTCAGCTGTGGGGAGCTGCACTGTGCACAGCAATCCAGTCACCTACTGGAGCTCACTTTCTCTTCTGAAGAACACTGGTTAAATGAATGAACTTGTAATCACAACAGTCGCTAAATGTCACATGTTGACCATTATTGATCACTCAAGAATTATTTAACACGCAATGGCTTCATCACACAGAATCTAATCAATGCACAGTTTCTTTTGGTTGGTCTTGTAGAAAAAACTTCACATGACAAAGAACAAAAGGATAATGATAATGGCAGCATGTATTTGTATTTGTATTTGTATTTGTATTTATATTTGCATTTTGCAAATATATCAGCAGCCAACATCAGTATGTTTGGATGTTTGGAAACACTAAATACTAAGTGTATGAAAAACCTGTAAAACCTGGCACTTCTTTACAAATTCAAGAAATGTTACCTGGGTAAAAATACTATGTATTATAGTTATACATCATTCGAAAGTGCATTTGCTTTTGAGCAATAGTTACCATAAATAAGCTGAATGTTATTTTAAAGGTTCAAGGAAGTGTTGTGTGTAAAATATAATTATTGGTCATCCATTGGTAAAGGTAGTGATACCCAGGGAAAGGGCGTAACTTGGTGAAGAAAAAGAGACGTAAAAAAAGTTTATGCAGACGTTAAGTATGTGGACAAATATCTTAGATTGTCAACTTGAGGATCTGCTGTAAGATATTTGTCCTACATAGTTTGGAGTACATGACTGGATATTCTTCTGCATGAAGTTGTCTTGCAGTTGTGTGTTATCGTGCCCCTCATAGCTTAACTAGCTAACTTTTTAGCATTCTTTAGCTAAATGAATGTTGGTATCGGTAGTATAGCTAACCTGGCTTACTCCCAAGACTATATTCATCCTTTCCAACCTGGAATTCATGGACATTATCAGAAACAGTGCTACTTGAGTGACCAGTTGGATCATACAACGGAGCCTGCTACTTCGGACTTTCCCACTACAGCTT